TCCCTTCTTTTTTTTAGGTGTGAGTTGGAAAGTCGTTCCCGTCGCGTTCATCTTTCTAGCGTCAACCATAAATTTAAATTGGCTCGCATTTTCGGGGACGGGCAAACCGTTACTTTTTTGTTCGTTTGGGGAGAGGGGGGGTCCGAAGATCATATCCTGGTAAACCCAACACCTGCCCCGAACCTTTTGGATGTTTAGGTCGGATAGGTCCTAGCACGCCGGTTAATCATGATATGGATACGACGAGTCTCCGCATTTGCTGCGCTTGTCGCCGCCGCAAACTTCGTGCTGGTGTTGTCGAGCGCGAGCGTCAATGTAGTTTAGCTGACGGAAGGTCTCGTTGTTCGGTTGAACAACTGGAGCATCGTCATGTTGCCGCGCTTGTACAGTTGCCCAGTACTCGAGCGATGCTGGCCCTGGGGCCTCTCGGTTTTCACTTCTCAAGGTCTCCGCTATATTGCGAGAGGCCTGGGCCATACGGACAGCTGTTGCCCGATGGATTGGGTTTGATTTTTTGACCCGGTTGACGTACATGAACAGAGCTAGCCGCTGGCTTGGGCTCTTTCTTCTACCCCACACCTTCCGCAATAGCTGTGAGAACGCTTCTGCGTCCTCGGGTAGACGCTTGTAGTCACTTTGTCGGGCGTTCACAGTGGCTTTAATGTAGACGCCAGCATCCGCTGGCCAAGTCACAGCCGAGTCGTCCTTCACCAAGAGTCGCAGCTTCTCCTTAAGTACTGCGTACCCTTCTTCAACCGAAAAAGTCATAGCACGTCGCGATCCGTGAACCGCTCTACAGTCTGTTAGAGGCTCTCCGATCTTAATAGTCACCTCTGCGTCGCACTCGTGGCGAAGCTCGCGTAGAGCAGCCTCTATTCTCTAGTTGCTCTCGATGATGAAACTTTTCGTCTGAAGAAAAAAAAAACGAGTTGGTCGTTTTATGGAAAGCGATTTATGTAAATAGCAACAACGACTTAGACAGCGAATAGAGCGCGCAAAATCAATGAAGTGGACAATATCCTGACGTTCGTCAGCCCTTCCGATTAGTTACGGACGCGGGTAAGGTAGGCCTAGGGGATTGCTTTATGTAAGATCATGGAGATGGTTGGCAGCCAGTGGCGTACGCTAGTAAGGTCAGAAGCATCACGGAGGCAAACTACTAACACTTCGCTCTGCCACACCAGGTCGAGTCGATGACTGGATCTCCGACCAAGACGACAAGTCCTGGAGCGATCGTGATGCACTCAGCTACGCGTGGTCTCATGGTGGGTCAGGTGACGACGAACCCGACGTGGTCGTTCGTGGAGCCCGAAGCAGACTTCGAGGTGGACTTCTACCCTGCCCGTAAGCCGTCGCCGTGGATTGTTCTGGAGACCGACATGCTGCGTACGCTGCAGAAGGATATCATGGGCAACTGGTCGGATTGGGACGCCGATAGCTGGTACTACAACGGCAAATATTTCCAGAAGTACGCGTCGTTGTGTCTGATGGCAGCAGACAGCTCGGTGGTTGGCCCGGACACACTGCTTCTATCGTTCTGTCTGGAGAAGCTGGAGAAGATGATTGGCCGGTGCTGAACAACTCGCTGTCGCCTCCTCTCATGTACGATACGCTGTACCGCGGCATCATCTCGAGCTCGACCATCATTTCGGACCAGAGGTAGTATTAGCTAGGTACAGTACAAATGTCGAGTACCGGTAGGGGACTTTTGCTCCACTGCACATCGATATTCACCCTCCAGAATCGCTGGCTAGTAATCTTGTTTACGAGTCTCTAAAGATTACGATTACACTTTTAAAACCCTTCCACATCGTTTAAAGAAAGACCAGATATACCTGGTCTATTAAAAGCCTCTTCATTCTTCAGCACTAGCAAAAGTTCTATGCCAGCTTTTGATCGTTGAGATTGGTATCGTGCGATTGCATGCAGCTTCATCTCCTTGTCAAGCATTACGCTGCATGAAAAAAAAAAGTTATGCCTGAGTGTGCCACACGTTTTCAAATTGACCTGTTTTCCGCTTTCCGTTCATTTCGAGTTTCGCGACCAACACCTCAAGCATCCACGAAATTTCTTGCCATGAAGATCATCTCTGCTGTCGCCGCCTCCTCAATTGCGCTTGGAGCCGTCTCTGCCACTACTGACCATGTCAGCCGAATGCTGGTTCTTGGTGGAGCAGTTGTTCCCAGCGGCACGAAGACGTACACGACCGGAATCCGCCCTACCATTGATGGCGACAATTTTTGCGGAGGATCGCTGATCTCCCCAACGCATGTTCTTACGACGACGGCGTGTCTTCGTGGTATCAAGCCGCCGAATTGGGTGTCTGTGGGCACACACTACCTCAACGGAACGCACGATGGGGAGCAGATCAAAGTAGAGCCCTCGTATTGGGTGCAGTGAACGACCGAAGGACCAAGATATTATTGGATACCGGAGCAAATGTCTCGGCGATAAGTGAGTACTTCGCGAGGAAACTGCGTCTCAAGAGAGTGGCCAGCAGAGATAAGCGAATTGACATACAAGG